CCGGCTTGGGGATAAGCCGGAGAAAAGCGCCAGTCTAGACGCGATTCTCCGGAAAATAAGCCCTTTTCCGGAGGATTTCTTATTTCTACTTGAATTTAAATCACCTGCGGATTTGTAATTCCGAAGTGTCTAATCTGCACCCCTTTTCTGGAAAAGGGGTGCAGTGTAGACACAGCCCTCCTGTGTCAACCTAGTGAGAGTGTATAAGGGCTGGGGATAGCAAGTGATGGAGAGGAGGGGAACAGAGCAGATGATGCCTCAAGGAAGGAGGGTGGGGTTCTTGGGGAAGGAATGTGATTTTCATGCATTTTTGGGGGATTTTCATGAATTGGTGGGTCCCTCCCCCCCCCCCCTTTTTTTTTTTTTTTTTTTTTTTTTTTTTTCACAACACCTTTTTTTTTTTTTTTTTGCTTGACAAACCTAGGGGTTCCTTGAAATTCTGAAAAGCTGAAAAGGGTTCCTCAGCCAAATAAAATTGGGAAAGACTGTATTAGAGCATGTCCAATGGTATCATTTTGTCTCCTGCATCTCTTGGAAAATTATTTAAAACTAGACAGCTTGTAACTGTTACCAAACTATTAATCTGAGTGCATATGGAAATTAGTTAAAATGGTGAAAATCTGTTTCTGTGCCTACACCAAAATCTATTATGTGAACATTAATCGTCAGAAACTTATTTTAAACCCTAAATCCATCTTAGATATTAATCTAAAAATAAAAAGTAGACTGTTTACTATGGTACACATTTATAGAAGTTGATGCAAAAACAACAATGTGAATATGTACTTGTGTAAATAGACAAAAAATAACAGTGCTATTAAAAAAGCAGCCTACCTCAGACTGAAAATAGAGCAGTGTCGGTTGGGCTAGGAGAGGGACCAAGGAGTAAAATCAGGGCAGGCAGTGGGGTTTAGAACAGGATATGGGCCCTGCCAGCCAGTGGCAGAGGGGGAACCCCAGGACAGGAAGGGGGTGGAAGTGATGGGGCAGGGAACTCTCTACAGTGCTTGCAAACATTGAGTGTGAGAGCAGATAGGGTGTTTCCCAGTTCCAGCATGGGCCGCTTCCGTGCTGCTTCCCAGGACTGTGATTGAAATGACACAATGTCCCCCAGGGACATTCCAAACAGAGTCCCTCAGGGAAGAGCCTGGTAAGATGGTTTTGTCAGCTAAGTGGGACTCAATGCGGTGAAATATTGTAGATAGAGTCCTTTCCAAACACTGTAATTACCAGAACTGGTCAGGGACTCTTAAACCCCAAGATGGGTTTCTCTTTCTGCTTAAAGCTAGATGGGGAACCTTTTTGGGTTGGGGGTCGCTGACCCACAAAAAAATCATTTGGGGCCACACACAAATGAGAAGCAAAAAACAAGCGAACAAACCCTCACTGATGTGACCTCCAACTGAGGAGAAGGACGTTCCTCACATTCTCCTCACACAGCAGAGCCTGGGGGGAGGGGGGGGCTGGCTCCAGCCGCATGGGGAACCTGAAGCACCATTGTGGACTCAATATTGGGGAGGAGCCCCTGAGACTCAGGAGGCTGGATCCAGGCAAGCTAGGGGCCGCCACATCTGGCCCTTGGGCTTGAGGTTTTCCACCGTTGGCTTAAAGCTTCAAAGGAGTTTGCAAATGGGGCTGTAGAATGGCTACTTTTAAATTCGTTATTGAATCTCCAGAGAGGTTAAAACATTCTCTAGTGGGTTTGTTTGTGTTATTCCCTGGACATTCAATAATGGATTTAAAATTAGTTATCCTTCCAGAAAAGAATTTTAGCACCGGATTACAGAGGGAGACACCTGAACTGGAGCTCATTTACAATTTCAGTACTATAATAGTGACTCAGCTGTGAAGTTAAATATTATTAACAGTATGAGAGCTCTGATACCAACTAGGGAGCTAATGGTACTACTTTGCTATCACAGGCATTTGCATCTGAATGTCTGCAGCTCCCCCATATGTGTAGTTGTTGTGTGGCTTGATATATTTTAGATCCAAGGGAAACCAGTACACTCCAAGGCTACTTAACCACTTTCTTATTTATTGCAAGCTTTTAAAAAGTTAATACAGTTGTTTAAGTTTTACAAGCCTTAAAACAATTACTATACAACTTAAACCTTAATTACTATAAATTCTAAAGCAATGAATACAGCACAAAGCAATGCAGAAACAGTTTCTAAAAGATCTATTATATACAATAATAAAGCCTAATTTACTTACACTTCATCCATATGCTTCCTACAGTTGTGGTTCTATTTCTTCCCATACATAGGATACTTACACTTCACCCATATGCTTCCTACAGTTGTGGTTCCATTTCTTCCCATACATAGGACTGCCTGGGCCGTTGGTGTGAAGGGCCTAAGTACTTCTAGTTACACCAAGCAGGACATGTGAGTCAATTCTGCCCATTCCCACCCATCGATTTTTCTTACTAAACCCAATTTATAGCAAAGCGAGACTTGGCCATTCTAATAATATTTACCAATTGATTACGTATTGTGTAGGATATGTCAAATGCCCAGTGCCCCTATTTGGGGTACATCCTGCTACCTAGAATGTTACCTGAAACTATATGCATAGTTGACTGTTTTATGACTGCATCTGTACTTTTTGCATATTGGAAAAACGTACCCATACGAGACTGCTTGTCCTGTGTTTTCTTGAAGCTCTTAATCTGCATAGTAATGCAAAACAGATCCTGACTCTCACAGCTTTCTTTAACACAAGCTTTGCCTGCATGCTTTGGGCGCACCAGACTTGAACAAGACCTGAGTTTGGTTTTAGGCGGACATCACCATTTATTGCCAAGGCAGGATAGTCCAAGCTCCTCCACAGTAGTTATTATGGAAGGGCAGTTAAAAGGTTTCAAACTGAAAGAATTAATGTAGGTTTTTACCCCATTTCCCATTACTCCATTCCCTTATGAAGGGTTTGTCTCGGTGGCATGATGCCAAAGTTATGAAGTTAAAGCGCACAGATTATAGCACCTTAAATCTGAGAGATTTCAATGGTCACTCTGTTCAGTTTAAATATTCTGTTGTTTTTTAAAAAATAAATAGGTGGAAAGGCTGAGAGCTGGCTGTTCATGGAGCGAAACTGCTGGATCCTGAAGGGCTCCTAAGTCTAGTGGATACAGCTCAGTGTGAATCAATAACGGTAAGCTAAAGCCTGGCAAATACAGACTAGAAAAGAGGCACAAATATTTAATGGGGAAGATGATTAGCTGTTGAATCCAATGACTGAAGAACTGGTGGATTCACCATCTCTTGAAGTTCTCTAAGCAAAGCTTGACGACTTTCTAGAAAATATGCTGTGGGGAAAGAAAGGGTTGTTCTGGGATAGCCAGATGAAATACAATGGCTTGTGACCAGGACTTGACAAATTATGCAAAACCCTACTCGCCAGACAAAAAAGGGACTCGACACCCTCTCCCCCCCACCGTGCAGGCACACACCACCGGAGAATGTGATGACCAGGACGGCATGTTTGTTTACGTCAGTTATCATGGCTGCAGTTATTGTTGTTTGTCATTCTTTGACATTTTGACGTGGTCTCAAAAACTTCAGTGAATGTTACAACAGCATTTTCATAGGCATGTGCAGCACATTTCATTAGGGTGTGCACCCAAAGAATTTTTTTAAAATGTCCTGTGACTCCCATTAGCCACACCCCTGACTCCCATTAGCCACACCTCTGGAGGTAACATTCTTGGGGCAAGATAGACACGTGACCAGAAGTAAAAGGTGTCATGTGACCACCCCCCCTTAGGATTTTCCCACCATCCTCTTACCAATAGGGATTAGTTTGGCCCCCACCACACCTCCCTCATGCAACTATCCTGCAATTGCATTAACCCACTGTGCATGACGTTACCTCAGGGGCGGAGAGGCTTGGCGAAGTGTTCCCTCTAAGAGTTTCCTCCCATGAGCAGAATGAGTTTTGTGTTGTGCACCAGTATTGAGTTCATATGGCTTGTTTGGATGTGCCACTGTGGCACCTAAGTTATTAATAAATATCTTTTAAACCTCTACCTTTTCCCTCTGCTGCCATGTCTCCTTCCCTTGATCCATCAGCTCCCCTGGTGCCTGCTGCCCCCCAACCCCTCACCCTCCTCTGCTGTCCTGACTCCTCCCCTTCTCACTGCCCTCAGCCTTCCTGAGACCTGCTCCCCTCCACCAGCCCTTCTCTCCCTTCGTGCCCACTCCTCCAGTAGCCTCACTCTGATCATGTGAGCTACCCCTCCTCATCCCCTTTCCTAACACCTCCCTCTACACACCTGCCCTGCCTCTCTCCTCTGGTCCCTCCCCTGTAGGTGTCTGCCCTTCTACTTCACCCCCAGAATTCCCTGGCATCTCCTGGTACTTCCCCCTTCCCTCACTGCCCCTGCTCCCTTTGCCCTCTTTTTCCCTAATGCCTACTCCCTCACCACCCTCTGCCCCCATTCCTCTCATGCCCCTTTGTCCTCACACATGTTTTGCTCCATCCCTGCCTTCCTCATGCCCAACCCTTCTTTCAAGCTTTCTCCCAGCACCTCCCCCTTCCCACTCTAGCTCCTAATGCCCCTCCCCTCTCCTTTCCCAGCACCACCCTGTCCCCCTTCCCACTGACACCTCCCCTCCTGCCCTTTTCCTCATTGTCTCCACTTGGCCCCCTGACATTTGTCTCTCCTCCACCCTGTCCCTTGGCACCTTCCCCTTTCTTCTCCTGACCTCCCCTCCCCTCAGCACAAGCCCCTTCCCCCTATTTTCCCTCTTCCCTTCCCCTCCCCTACCTGGCTTCTGCCTTCCAGTGTGCGGGGCTGCCGGAGCCTTTTTGAATCCAGTGGTCACTGGTCGTGACATTATGTCATGCCAGCATCCTGGCATCTCTCGGCGTCCTGCCCTCTGGCTCACACCCTTCCTCCTCGCACCGGAGCTGCACGCAGGCAGCCCGGCGCCAAGAATCGCTGCACTTCCCCCTCTCTGGCGGTGCTTCGCTCCTCCACCCGGCCGACGGATCGATTGGGGCCATGCCAGCCGTGGTGCGGGCTTCAGCCAGCCCATCACAATGGCCCACCAGGTCAGTCCGCCCCTGCACTCGCCAGCTGGTAAAATCTACTAGTCGCGGGCGAGCGTATTTGTCGAGCTGTGCTTGTGACACAGATGAGACCAAGAGCATGAAATAATGATCCCATCCAATGCTGTGAATCCATGATTATTAGGATCTCATCCTGTAAACATTCAGCATGTGTATTTAATATTAAATATCTGAAAGGTCTCCTTGACTTCACATAATCTCTGTTGTGGGGTAGGTTTATAAAATCTCTGTTGATTTAGACCTGATGAGAGGGCCTAGGTCTGTGCTGCAAATAAACGGAGGAAGACGAGGGGCTTTAAATACAGCAGCCTAAACTTAAACACCTGCATCCATATTCAGAATATGGAGCTTGTTTATTGGAAACACTGGGCGCTCAGAGCCGAATCCCATTGTTGTCGGCACAATAATGTTGAAATTTAAGCCAGGTATTGAGAGAAGTGAATATGGATTTGTGATCTAACGTCTATGTGCTGTTAATGGAATATCTAAACAAGGGGTTGGTAACATGTAGCAATCTGTGCCATAAGCAGCATTCGAGCCAATTTTCTGTGGCATGTGGGGTGGGAGCTCAGCCCTTCCCCAGGTTTATACTGTGACTGGAGCCTCAGCTATGCAGCTGTAAGCTGGAGCACCAGCTCCAGCTTCTTGCTGGGAAGCAGTTGGGTGGGAGAGTCCCATCCTCATCTCTGGGGCTTCCTGTGTCTGGCCTGGGCATACAAGTCCTGGGACATAAAGAGTTAATCCCTCCACGTCCCCACGCTATAGGCTCTATCTCCTGCTTCACGAGGGGGTGGGGATGGGGCTGCTCTGCAGATCAGGACTGGGTGGCCAGTCACACAGGGTGAACCCAGGCCCGGGTTGCACCGTGCTGTTCCCCACGAGCTGGGGGTGGGTCAGGGAGCCCCTTCCCCAGCGCCCCGCTGCACCTGGAGCCGCAGTCTGCAAGTGAGGGGTGAGCCCCGGGCAAAGGGCTGAGCCGGACAGAGCAGTAACTCTGGCCCCCTGCTTCCCTGGCCCCTGCTTGCCTCAGTGCTGCTCCTGGGGGCTGCAAGGCCCAAAACTGCTGCCCTGCCAGTGAGTGTGCTGAGGGGAACAGGGATGTGGGGTGAAGGAGGATGTGGGGGCAGGAGTTGCACTGAGGGGGATGGGGTGATGGAGGGGGATGAGGCTTCAGGGAGGGGAATCATAGGGCTATTGGGAATGAGGCTGAAACAGAGGGAAGATGTGGGATGTGGAGGGAATGGAGCACCAGAAGAGTGAGGAGTCTCAGATGGGGCCCATACCAATGAGAGTTGGGGGTTTTTGGAGAAGTGGTTTTTTTTTTTGCTTCTCACTTGTGTGGTCCTCAACTGATTTTTCTGTGGGTCAGTAACCCCAACCCAAAAAGGGTTCCCCACCCCTGCCATAAAGAAAACATTGAAACCTTTTGTGTTGAATATAATATTTTACTTTCTTTATAATGAAGTCTGATAAAGTGTTTTAACTTTCTCATGTTAGTTTATCTGTTTAATAATTTAAATTAAACTGTTCTCCCCAGCTGCAGCTGGTTCAGAAAATGTTTACTGTACCCAGCCTGCCCTGTCCCCCACTTCTGCTGAGCGCACAGATCCATGAATAAGTTAAATCTTGACACGCCACTTCTGAAAGGTTGCCAGCCCTTGATCTAGACTCAATCATGTGCTCAAAGTGGCAGAGTCTTGCATCTGTGTCAACAGGGACAAAATATGGGGGGAATGAGGGTGTGGAAAGGATTAAAACCCCTTCTCCCCCGACAGGCTGCAGAGCCAGGGACAGGAAATGGCTGTGGTGGAGCCAGTGACCTTCGAGGAGGTGGCTGTGTATTTCTCTGAGGAGGAATGGGCTCTGCTGGACCTGGGCCAGAGAGCCCTCTACAGAGATGTGATGCAGGAGAATTATGAGGCTGTGAGCTGGCTGGGTAAGGATTCCTGTCCCCTTGGATATCAGAAGTTGGGTGGGCTTTGGAGCTGCTGGGTTGGGTTCAGGGCCCCTCATTGCCCCTGCTCCCAATGTCAGGAGTATCTGCCCCAATAATTCTGGCACTTGTGTGAAAGACTGTCCCCTCCGCATCCCCTGCCAGGGGAAGCAGGTTCAGGGACACGATAGTGGTGCTATTCTTCCCATAGCCAAAGTCTCAGTGTGCTTCCCCACCATCTTGCCCTAGTTGTGTCTTGGCCAGAGGTGTGAGTGGAAGGGCCCAGGCAGAAATGGCAGGTACCAAAGTTATGGGTCTGGGTCTGGCTGCTGTTAGTGCCTACAAGGGTCCCTTTGTGGCAGTGGGCTGAGCCGCTGGAAGGAGGGTGCAGTTCCCAGTGTCCTTCCCTGCCTGTGGCTGATCTGTTAACTGCTGGTTCTTGCCAGTGGGAGGGGCTGGGTTGCGGAGACTGAGGGAGGGTGGATGAGACACTTCACACTCTGTGAGTGTTTTGTCGGGGGTAGTTCTGTGGCAGATAAACATGGGCAGAGCTCTCCTTGAATTTTAGACACAGCCTGAGTTTCCTTTCAGAAGTCCAGCTTTATTCTCTCTGGGGCTCACTTGCCTCTCCTGTGACTTCTTTTCTCATACATTGACACAAACAAGAAGCATGTTGCGTTCCATGTGTTGCTACCCCCTTAGCCTTCTGTGTGTTTGAACAAAACATCCATGTCCATTATCCTCTCTGATGTGCTCACGGGTCAGTGAGTTCCTGAGCCAACTCTTAGGACTGGGGGTATGTCTACACTACCCTCCTAGTTCGAACTAGGAGGGTAGTGTAGACATACCCCCAGTCCTAAGAGTTGGCTCAGGAACTCACTGACCCGTGAGCACATCAGAGAGGATAATGGACATGGATGTTTTGTTCAAACACACAGAAGGCTAAGGGGGTAGCAACACATGGAACGCAACATGCTTCTTGTTTGTGTCAATGTATGAGAAAAGAAGTCACAGGAGAGGCAAGTGAGCCCCAGAGAGAATAAAGCTGGACTTCTGAAAGGAAACTCAGGCTGTGTCTAAAATTCAAGGAGAGCTCTGCCCATGTTTATCTGCCACAGAACTACCCCCGACAAAACACTCACAGAGTGTGAAGTGTCTCATCCACCCTCCCTCAGTCTCCGCAACCCAGCCCCTCCCACTGGCAAGAACCAGCAGTTAACAGATCAGCCACAGGCAGGGAAGGACACTGGGAACTGCACCCTCCTTCCAGCGGCTGTGTAGACATACCCTGTGTGTTTGCAGTTACTGCAGAGATCGGTGTGTTGATTGTCCTCCTCACCACTCAGAAATGTGCTCGCCTGGCCAGTGCCCCACCATTCTGCCATAGACCAGTCTGGACATAAACAAGATAATCCTCACATCAGAACATTCCCACTGACACTGCACACAGCACATTTTGCACAAGGTTTCTTGCAGTTGTGTAACAGTGGTAGCACAATGATCTCCATAGTCATGTCACAGATGGATTTTCCAAACACTAAATGAAGGTCCGAGAAGGCGTCGGGCTGAGGAACGTGCCCACAATGTGCAAACATGGTAGATTCTGTGCAGCCTGGTAGGGCACCAACTCAAAGGCCATAAAAGACAAGACTGGGATACCATACAAAGGTTGCTGCTGCTGGCAGAGTAGAACCGAGGCTGCAGGAGTGAGCTGAGCAACACCCACAAGCACCAGAGAAACAGCACAGCACAGCTCCACCCTGGCTGGTCCCAGGAGCAGTCCAGCACCACTCTGGCCAGCCATGGAAATGGCAGCTGTTGTGAGCAGCTGGAAGGGCCCACCCAGACACAGGCAGTCGGGATCAGGAGCGTAGAGCATAGGCAGGGCCTGAAGCAACCCGCCACAGATTCACTTAGTTGCTCAGTCAACTTCCTCTGCTTTTTTGTGGTTCAAGTAGAGCATCTGAGCTAAAGAGTAGGGTGAGCTGAGCCCCCCCAGGCAGGAGCTTTGTGGACAGAACCTTGGGAAGCTAGAGCTCTGCTGGGTCCTTTCTCTCTAAGCCCAAGTTATCTGCCATGTGGCAGCTGCAGTCTGAGCCCTGTCTGGGGACTTCAGTGTCAGACCTGCCAGCCCTCCCTAGAACTCCCCTTCTGATCAGTGTGTTCCTGTCCTGCCCTGGGATGCTGGGGGTATGGAATGGGCTGTGAGGGGGACTGATTTGTGCACTAGAAAGTGCATCAGAACCCTCAGCTCCCTTGGGGAATCAACTGGGCCATTCCTGAAGCAAGGGGATGCACCTTTTGTCAGTGAGTGTTCCTGGGATCTTGTACCTACCAGAGCCCAGTCTCTGCAAGGCAGGGAAGGAACCTCTCTGGGTGAGAGAGTCAGATCCTGGCTCTAGAAGCAGTAATGGCACATTTGGAAAAAGTAATCCCAACTATACATATAATATGATGGGGGCTAATTTAGCTACAACTAACCAGGAAGGATCTTGGAGTCATCATGGATAGTCCTCTGAAGACGTCTGTGCAGTGGCAGTCAAAAAAGCAAACAGGATATTAGGAATCATTAAAAAAGAGAGAGAGAATAAGAGAATAATTATTGCCCTTTATATAAATCCATGGTCCACCCACATCTGGAATACGCGTACAGATGTGGTCTCATCTCAAAAAAGATATACTGGCATTAGAAAAGGTTCAGAGAAGGGCAACTAAAATGATTAGGAGTTTGGAACGACTCCCATATGGGGAGTGATTAAAGACACTGGGACTTTTCAGCTTGGAAAAGAGGAGACTAAGGGGGGTTATGATAGAGGTCTATAAAATCATGAGTGGTGTGGGGAAAGTGAATAATGAAAAGTTATTTACTTGTTCTCATAATATAAGAACTAGGGGCCACCAAATGAAACTAATGGGCAGCAGGTTTAAAACAAATAAAAGGAAGTTCTTCACACAGTGCATAGTCAATCTGTGGAACTCCTTGCCTGAAGAGGGTGTGAAGGCTAGGTCTATAACAGGGTTTAAAAGAGAACTAGATAAATTCATGGCGATTAAATCCATAAATGGCTATTAGCCAGCATGGGTAAGGAATGGTATCCCTAGCTTCTGTTTGTCAGAGGGTGGAGATGGATGGCAGGAGAGAGATCACTTGATCATTACTTGTTCAATTCACTCCCCCTGGGACACTTGGTATTGGCCACTGTCGGCAGACAGGGTACTGGGCTACATGGACCTTTGGTCTGACCCAGTATGGCCATTCTTATGTTAGACCTTAATGAACAAGATCAGCACTTGTTTAATTGCTCCCCCAAACAGGATTTCCAGTCTCAGAAGCTCATGTGATCTCCTGGGTAGAGGAAGGGGAGGAGTTGCGGGTCCAAGATCTCCAGAGCTGTGAAGAAGGGGAGATCAGCAGCAGCACCCGCACAGGTGAGCAATCAGCTAAACTGACTCAGAAGCCAATTTCTGTCTCCTTATAACCCGTGTCACTTGTGCATTTTCCTCTAGTCTGACTGCCCCTTCAGCCTGTCTTCAACTTCAGTCAGAGCATGGTAGGTGGGGGAAGGCTGGGTTCTCTCCTCTGTGGAAGGATCATGAAGGAGGATGAGCTCAGCTAATGATAATTCAACCATTACTTGAGTGTGTGTCCCCCCCCCTTTTCTATTCTCCTTTCAGAGTTTCCTTTCAGCTCATCATGGAGAATAACTCCTGTCTGGATTCTTTCAGCAGGAGGGACTGGAGCAAGTAGCTCCATGTGGGATGTTACTGGGAAGACCTGAAGGGCATGTTTCCCAGATACAGGAGCAGGCAGAGAGCTGTGAGAATCGGTATAGCCCAGAAAAGCAGCAGGGAAACCATCCAGGAGAGGCACAGGATAAATCCACTCGCAGGAGCAGAATAGAGAAAAGAAACACAGAAACCATTAAACAGAAAATCCCCCATCAACAGTTACTCTGCACTTGTAGTGACTGTGAAACTATTATTGAACATGAAAGAGCCCACTCAGGAGAGAAGCCCTTCAAATGCTCTGACTCTGGGAAAAGCTTTAGTCAGCACTCATACTTTATGAACGATCAGATAATACATACAAGAGAGACACCCCATAACTGCTCTGACTGTGGGAAAAGCTTCTGTGTGAGTTCAGCCCTTGTTAGACACAGGAGGACCCACACAGGAGAGAAACCATTCACCTGCTCTGACTGTGGGAAAAGCTTCCGTCAGAACTCACACCTTGTTAAACACAGGAGAACCCACACTGGAGAAAAACCCTTCAGCTGCTCTGACTGTGGGAAAAGCTTCATCGGGAGCTCAGACCTTGTTCTCCATCAGAGAACCCACACAGGGGAGAAACCCTTCACCTGCTCTGACTGTGGGAAGAGTTTCAGTAGAAGTTCACACCTTGTTAACCATAGGAGGACCCACACAGGAGTGAAACCTTTCAATTGCTCTGACTGCGGGAAAAGCTACAATTGCAAGTCACACCTTGTTATCCATTGGAGAACCCACACCGGGGAGAAACCCTTCAGCTGCTCTGACTGCGGGAAAAGCTACAATTTCAAGTCACAACTTGTTACCCATAGGACCACCCACACAGGAGAGAAACCTTTCAATTGTTCTGATTGCGGGAAAAGCTACAATTTCAAGTCACAACTTGTTACCCATAGGACCACCCACACAGGAGAGAAATCTTTCAGTTGCTCTGAGTGTGAGAAAAGCTTCAGTCAGAAGTTAGCCCTTGTTAGACATAGGAGAACCCACACTGGAGAGAAACCCTTCAGCTGTTCTGACTGCGGGAAAAGCTTCAGGGGGAGCTCAGACCTTGTTATCCATAGGAGAACCCACACTGGGGAGAAACCTTTCACCTGCTCTCACTGTGGGAAAAGCTTCAGTACGAGTTCAAGCCTTGCTAAACACAGGAGGACCCACACAGGAGAGAAACCTTTCAATTGTTCTGACTGTGGGAAAAGCTTCAGTAGAAGCTCACACCTTGTTAGACATAGGAGAACCCACACATGAGAGAAACCCTTTAGCTGCTCTGACTGCAGGAAACGCTTCCGTCGGTACTTCTTCCTTACTAGCTATCAGATAATACATACAAGAGAGTCACCCCACAAGAGCTCTAATTGCAGAAAAAGCTTCAAACACAGGTCAGACTTTGTTAAACGTAAGACAACTCATGGAGGAGAGAAAACCATTCAGCTGCTCTCACTGTGGGGAAAAGCTTCAGTCAGAGCTCAAATATTGTTAGCTATCAGAGAAACCTATAATTTGAGTTCCCTTTAAACTGTGTTGCCATGTGGCTGTGCTGCAGCCTATTAAATGACATGTGAGCTTATAGGGTAGGGGTGGCCAACCCATTACTGACAAAGAACCAAAATACTGGTAGATACAGCACAAAGAGCCAATAACGAAAAACATTGTCGAGCAAAAAAAATTGGGCCCTGATGCTGCCCTTTTAAGAGCAGAGCAGGCATTCCCATTTAACGGTGGCCATTTTTATCTGCCATTTTGAAGGATGCATGGGACGCTGTGGCTCTGTCTCTTTCACACAGCTGCCTCTTGAAGAGCGAGTGCAGGGACCACAATTTTTTTTGTTGAAGAGCCACATGCGACTCCCGAGCCACAGGTTCGCCACCCCTCTTACAGGGCTTTGGCCCAGTGGTCTCAACCCTGACCCAGATCTGCTGTGACCAGAGGACAATTGGCTATCCCATAGCCCTAGCCCCAGAGCTGCCATGGCAAGGAGAGGTATGTCTCCCCTCTCCCCCTTCACAATAGCACCTGAGCTGGAGGAGAGAGAACTTGTGGGAGTTTTCTTTCCTGATGTAGCCTTTCAGTGGCCTACATGTAATTTCCCTCAGTCTTTAAGATTACACCCCCTGTGGGAGCCCTCAACCAGTATTCCCTCTAAGATTTTCCATCCATGGGTAGAATGAGTCTTTTCTTGTGCACCAAAAGTGACATCCTGTGCACTTGTTCAGATGTGTGCCCCTGTGGCACCCACCAGTTACTGAGAATTTTTACACACACACATGTATTTTTTATATATATATA